TTTTTATGTATTTTTTAAGTATTCTGAATACTTTTTAAAAGTATTTTTAACGAAATGTAAATACTTGTATTTAAATACTATAAACTTAGTGTAAATACATTTTTATTAGAAAAAAAGTAATAATAATATAGTATAGAGAACAGACCATGTATAACTATAGTATTATAACAGATACATATTTTATTAGTTTGAACAGAATATAATTACTATTAATATTCGTGGGCCTCAACAAAAAAAAGTCGGAATGTATTAGTTGAAAATGAAATTGCTGACTTTCTCAACAAGAGTCCAACTAAAAAAATCAACGTATTAAATTATACTCCAATTTTAAAAAAGGTTTTCGTAAAGTATAATACTCCCTTCCCTCAAGTGAACCTATTGAAAGGGTGTTTAGTATAGGAGCCTGTATTTTAACAAAAAAAGAGGGAAGATGAGTGATTCTAATTTTGAAAAAACCATGTTATTGAAAAGTAATTCTAAAATTATCTAAATTCTAAATAATAACAGATTTTAATTTTTTTTTTCAAATAAAATTTTTATTGAATATTGTGAAACAAATTTTAATAAAAATATAAAGATTATTTCATTATTACAGTTAGTTTTTTTTTCTGAATAGAAATTTAATTTTTATTCATATTTGTATAAATGTATAATATTTGATTTATACGAATGTTAAATTATATTAACCATAAATATGTAATTACGCTAAATTATATATTATTATATTGATAAATTATAAGTATATATTAGGTATAAATATATTATGATACTATATTATATATTGATAATACCTAATATGAGCAGTATGTACTACATTGTTAGCCTAATTTGTAAGTTATTTCATGTTTATTAATAAACATGTTTGGAAACAGCTACTATAAGGTGTAAAATTTAAAAAAATACTTGTATTTGTATTCAAATACTTTGTGAGTATTCGTAAAATACATTTTTATGTAAGTATTTTAAAAGTATTTTTAATACTTTTTTATGCGAATACTAGTATTAGTATTTTAATACTTTTTCATGAGTATTTTTTACAAGACTGATCTTTTACCAGTTTAATGTTGAAAAGTCTTGTATCCACACCCTATATAAAAATATCGAAACAAAATTTGAAAATCATTTGAAGCATATAATTACAATTCGAAGTAATGCTGACGGCCGTGAGATTTTCTCTCGCTGTGTTTTCTACATATTTTTCCAACATTATAGTTTGTTAAGTCTATTAATGTCACGAGATGAGTATCTATTATTTCATTATTTACATTTGATTTCTGGGCCCTTAGAAATTATATGGAATATTAAAAATCAAATTCTTATGTTAAGCAGCTTAACCAATAACCATCTTAACTAGAAACAAAAAGCCACGTGTCATGTGTGATAATTATGTTTACCAGTTTTATCTGGTCGGTTGTTTTGTAATTGGTAGCGATTATTAATCGAGAAAAGTATTTAAACACTTTAGTGTTTACAGATTTTATTGAACTGATTATAAGCGCATATACAGTCGTCAATAATTATATATAATTAAAATTATTAAATGTTTTAAAGTATTAAATAGTGTTTGAAAAAAACATACATGATTGATATAAATTGACTATACATAGCTACATTACATTATATGTATAATATAGATAAACACAAGTATGTTGTAAACATATATTCACCGATATCGATTTTTGTGGTTAATATTTTGCTTGAACATAATAGCTATTAGCTGACATAATATATTATTATAGTACCTATGTACTGTCATAATATCAATAACAGAATACATATTATCAACACATTCAAATAAAAAAAGGTGGGTAACTGGATGTCGCTCAGCGTTCTGCTGTACAGTAGTGTACAAGAGGGTCACTGTATAATAATAGAAATAGATGATATTAAATTTGAATTCAATGATATAATATCATATTGTATACGAAAAACGATTCTGAGCGGAGACGGATTGTCTGTGTGGATATTTTGTGTTATATTTATATTGTTATTAGTTATTACTTATTAATAAGTAATAACTTATATTGGATATATATTCAACTATTAGAAAGTGGACAGTCTTATGAATAGGGCTCGGAAGTTGATGACCTTAAAAATATAGAAAAATGACCTAAAAAAAATGCAAATATGACATAAAAATGTCCTCAAAAAATGACCTAAAAAAATTACAAATATTTGTTTTAAATTTATGAAAATACATTTTTTTTTAAATATTTTACTCTATTTTACTATAAAATTCTATATACCTACATTTATCAAAGCTTACAAATTTCTCAAAATAAGACAGAAAAATGACAAATAATATCCTTAAAAATGAAATAAAAAATATTTGTTTGAAAACGACTATAATCGGCAAGATAAAATCGGATACTAATCGATTATTAGGAAAAAATAATAAAATTTAGGTATGATAATATTCACTACAACACGACAACGACAAAATGTAATTGGCGAGATAAAATCGGATAGGTACTAATCTTAGTCCGTGGTAATTTCCAAGTTTTAAGTTATAGGCATAGACAAGAAACGATAAGAAGTGAACTAGTGTGAAATCTGTAAAAATGACTAAAAATGTCCGAAAATGACCTAAAAATGTAAAAAAAAAACTTAAAAGTAAAAAATCAAATTTAATTACGTTACGAATATTACGTTACATTAATACATCACGTATGATCTTATTGATTCTAAATTCATACTTAATGATAATTTAAACAAATCAAATCATCTTTTTATTAACATTCTTACCTACACCAAATCTTTTCACGATATACATAATATCTATTTGCTTTACATCATCGAAAGGTAACAACTCAAAAATCCATATATCCTGTGTATCTAGTGTTTGAAAATGTCATGACTTTTAAAAAAATGAAATATTTCAGTATTTTAATACATTTTGTTTTATTTTTAAATAAGTTTTATATTTACATATAACTGTCATAAATTACCTTCATAACTGTACCTATGGTACTTGTATGTATACATAACCTTTGGTATTATACATTTAAAATGGTATTCAACATTTTTAAATATTTTAATGTTTAAATGATACAAGTACGTGTATAATATTATACATGTATATTGTATATACCTACTGAATTCTGACATTCGAATTTAGAACACTGAACATTGTATTAAAAAAAAAAAATAAATTGTGTTTTTATTTGTATTAAAAAAAATTTCAGTGTTTCACGTTTTTGTGAAATATTTCATACTTCAAACACTATGTGTATCCAATTTATAATATAGTTATAATAAAAACGTTAATAGAATAAAAAAGACATTTGCTGGAATTCGAAAGAAAATCTGGTCGGATGGGTTCTTTGAAGTATTGTATTTGAGCATAATATAACATTCATATATGTACTAAATAAACATCCTAAAAATTATATCCACGGCTATTAAACATCATATGCGTGTTACTACAAATAAATACTGAGACATTGTGTATATAAAACAATGACAAATCATTATAAATAAATATTGAGGCATCGAGTAAAACTCGATCAGTTAAAACAAAAAACATATAAATCATAGTGTAATACAATAGTACAATAACATCGATATACAAATCTAAAAACTATCAAAAGGTCAGACGTGCAATTATAGAAGTTAATTATACATCGTAATAATAGCGTGCATCGACTCACACAAAAATATTATTTTATAATATACACATCGTTCACAGATAGTCGAGATAAGTGATACACATTTTACACATACAATAATTATACAGTTGTAGTGGAATAGAACCAAACAGATGAACTAATTAACATTTTATAGTATTTCTATAATAATTATTACAACCCCCCATGCTATCCCTTTTCTTTTGTTTCTAATCCATTACATATTAGTACATTAAATTACCATACTTAATAATTAATAGCAATATATTAATTATATCATGATATATGTGTATGTATACTGAAAGAAATATACGTTAATCTACAGATGACTATAATATGAGTTTGTAACCTTCGCTTTAGGCTATAGAACAGGTGTCTCCAACCTACGGTCCAGCCGAGCTTTTTGCACCGGCCCGTCAAGCTAACTAATTTTTTGAAAATAATATGTTAATTTTCATTGTTTTTAATTTATTTTTTATTGAATTGGTTAATAAAATTAATTTATAATATTTTCTTTTGGTATTATTCATAACAACTTGTAATAGTTATACATATAGGTATACTAACACTAATATATACTAACTAATAATAGATAAACTCGTCAATCCCACTAATCCGACTTATATTGTACACGAAACTTACGCTATGGTCAGATAAGATACGATCGACTTTTTCTGTTGTAATATAATAACGCTATCGAAAGTATAGGTAATCGACGGGTAAAAACTGCGCGAGCCTACTGTAATGTATCGAGTATATAATATACTAGGACTGCAATGCGGTTCGCTGATTGCAAGAAATTGAGCTGAGCGAGTTAAACACACCGAAGCTAATTGAACTTGTTTTTTGAATGACATGGATTTGATGGATTCTGATAAATAAAAAGGTACAAATTAAGATGACACTATCGTTGGGACATGCTTTTGTTCGAGGAAGCGGTTTTTACTCTCAAATATACTCTCAACATTTATATTTAAAATACATTTTTCTTAAATATTACAATGACAACCAACTAACAATATAACAGGGAAAAACAACATTGTTTTTAGTATAATAATCAATTAATGTCTAGTAGATAATTCAGCCAATTCACGTAGACGGGCCAACTGGATTTTTTTAACGCTCCAAGACGAATTCTGATGAATTGACTTGAATAAACGATCAGGTGGAAATGCAGGGTCAATAAGTAATCCTTCGATTGTTCTTACCGTGATTTTATATTTTATATTTTATATTTCATATAGATTTATGCCGGATCTATGTTTATATCGAAACAAAATTATGGTATCAAAATTTGTTTAAATTTAGTTTTTCGGTGATTATTCCTCGATGGTACGTCGGACATCGATCAAAACCACTTGTTGGCACTCAGCGATGTCCACACTATCACCGTGCCAAGTTTGGTTCAGATCGGTTAATCCGTTGCAAAGAAGTATGCAGTTTAGTAAACGGCTATCCTGCGTATAAGAGCTTCGATCGGCTTCGCCTTGCTCAGCTCAATAATCAGTTTTTATAACTATTACAGTTTTTAGTGTTGTTTCTTTTTTTTTTTTTAAGACAATACATTTCTAAAATGTTGATCCGCGATGCCAAAGCGTGTATAAAATTTGGCCATAAAAAGTTGAAGACCCCGGCTATAGAATATAATATATTTTACGGATATTCGTTCGAAAAATTACGAATAATGATATTGAATTAGGTAAAAACCTTGTTGGTGCGTTACAGCGTTACTTTTTAAATAAAAATCTTTAAATATAATTTAAAAAAACCCAAATTTAAGCGTAAGCAAATTTATGCTCTAAAAAATAAAAAAAATGACCTACGAACAACGAACCGATCGACCCATGTATACCTACTCGTATAAGGAGGTTATTTGTGGACTCTTATTTTACAGTGACACTATAGTTTGCTGAGGCGTTCAACCTGTTCCTGTATATATGCGTGTAATATAATATAGGTAGGTATCAGGTATGTTTGATGAGTAATTTGTTAAAAAAGAATTGAAATTTGAACTCGTTACCGAACTAATTTGCCCTATTTGTAATTCATCATATACCTAAGATTTTTTTTAGGTACATTTCCCCAGCCCCCCAATTTCGAATTTTCATTTTTTTTTTACCATTCGTTTGTAGCAGATTTGTATTGGTTAAAAAAAAAATGAAAATTCGAAATTGGGGGGGGGGCTAAGGGAAATGTACCTGTTTTTTTTTACATATTTAGGTAGATACACCTACTATTCATATTAATAATATATTAATATGAACAAAATAAAAATACATTTAATGAAACTATAAAAGTAAAAAACTAGGCAAATTAATATTATACTTTTTGAGACATGTCTGGAATTTTTCTGCATTCGTTAATAATATTAAGTTGTTTATTGTATTTTAACAAAGTTTGTTTCCGATTTTGATAACCACTTCATTTTTTTTTTTGGCGGTCGTAATTGAAATAATAAAAAATAAATAATTATATAATAAATAATCAGACAAATTATTGATCAGTAATCACAGATTTCACAAAAGCTGTTGGCTGTCACTCGAGTTTGTACAACAATAATAATTGTAGTTTTGTAGTAGGCACGCCACACGCGTTAGCAAAATACGCCAAATTAGATTTTAATAACTTATGTCTATTGAATGTTTGAATCACAACTGATTTTGGGAAAGTATTAAGGATTAAGTTACTACCTAGCATTCGGCATATTAAATAAAAAGGTGGGTAAATGGATGTCACTCTGCTGTACAGTAGGTTACAAGTGTGTCACTGTAGTAATGGATGGTGTTAAATTTGAATTCAATGTATAATATCATTGTATACGAAAAACGATTCTGAGCGAAAGTGATATTACTAAGTATATTTGATGATATTATTGTGAATAAAGTAACTTATATATTATAACCTATATACGTGGAACATTGCTTTAAATTCTCAATCCTAAGTTATAAGAGTTGAACATTTTATAAATTGTTAACTAAAAATAGTTATTAAATTTTAAATTTGATATATTTTGTCAAATTTCAAACTTTAAATGCTTATAAAAAAAAATTGTGCCTACCTATGTATTTTCAATGTATTTTAACTGCTTTTGTAACAATATATCAGGAGCCTTGCAAATTTTCACGCTTTTTTTACCCAAGAAATAAATTTTTATTGATATTTATAGAATATAAAACTAAAAAAAAAATGAAAATTGACAATGTCCGTAAACAGCTCAAAATATTTTTAAAATTTTATGGTGTATAGAAAATGAAAATATTAACATTCAGTATAATTTTCATGTACCTACAGTTATTCGTTTAAAAACAACAACAAAATAACAAAATCACTTTATGAGAAATCGAGTGAATATCCCATATAGTAAAAATATGAAATTCAAACTCACATAAAAATACTTTTGATAATTTATAAAAAACTTATAAACAATATTGTATTACATTTTCAAATCTTAGATTTGAAAAGAAAAATATTTATGAATTCTCAACTCAAAATAGTTTGCTAATTTTCGTGATTTTTCAGTATTATGTCAATATTTGAACTTTAAATTCTTATAAAAAAAAATTGTGACTATGGATTTTTAATTTTTTGTCATCTGCCTTTGAAACAATTTAGTCAAAATATTTAGAAAATCTTATGGTGTATACAAAATTCTAATATAAACATTCAGTCAAAATTTCATGTACCTACCTATACATACGTAGGTACCTACGATTTTCTCGATAACAGATTCACTTTCCTATAATCCTATCTGAAAAGATACTATTGAAGAAAATCCAAGCACTTTTATAGTGTCATAAAAGACAGACACAGGTCACAGACACAAAAAAAATAAGTAAAAAAAAACAATAAATAAAATACCCATCATTGTAATATCAATACATTAATCGCTCCGCTCATAATCGAACCCGAGAATAAATAATCTTATATTGTACCTACTTGTAGAGCGATTGTCTGCACATTTTATATTGTAAATCATTATATTGATATAGCCATACATTGGCATTAAGGCATGTGTAAAAAAATGTTTAAATATTGATTAGAACAAAAGTTATTTCATTTGTCAATTATCAGGTCTTTCTGTTACACTTTGTACCCGTGTACCAGCTATAATTAATAATTATGGTATTACAATTATTGTGTAATTGAAATAATATTAATTATTTCGTAGGTACTTACCTATAAAACGGTTAATAGCCGATGTAAGCACAAAATATAGTATAATGTAAATAAATAATTTTATTTCATATTTTTCATTAGAAATTTTATTATTTTTGGATTTCACCAAATGGCAATTCAATATAATATGATGTGGAAAATGTTCGCTCGGAAGAACATTTAGTAAGTGAAGTCCATAATAATTCATAAAAACGCGTAATGCTATGTCAACATTTGGTAACATTTATTGATAATTTCGACTGTTAGTAGTAGTGACTAATTCAATGAACCCTAAATAATTTTTATTTTTTACAACAATATTTTGTAGTTATGTTGCTCTACTCACTATTTTACTCGTCACACATAATTATAAAATGCTGTTAGGTATATGTCTTTATGTCCTATATCTTTAATGTCGCAAAATTATACTTTATATTTTAACCAGCCGTTGACTGCAGCTATGCGTTTATTTTTAGTTTTCAATTTTCATGAATCTCCCCACACAAAATATTATTACTCGATTCCATCACAATTAAATAGGAATTTCCTTATAAATGACGTTTTGATGTAGTATACCGCGTAGTGGTGCATTTATATTTTTAATCGCGAAGTGTTAATATTTTTGATGATAAAATGTTAAAGGTATGTTAACTGAAAAAATCTTTTTTTGTGAGGCAATATAATTTAATAAATATCCCTATTTCGTATAACGCGTACTATATGTGTACTACAAATGTAAGTACAAGGAACAAAAATTCAAATAATGTATGAGGATCTACACATTTTTATGCCTACTCATAATATACCAAATGCTGAAATGCCAATCGTGAGTTTGTAGGTACCCGTCCTCCGTAGCCTTGTATAGTGTTGTAAATGCATTAAACAACTTTGCGGTAATCAACAGGTTTATTATAAGGTGTTGGAATATTTTTTTCCGTGGATATTTTGTTCCGTTGGCTACTTTGTTCCGTTTTGAGACATTTTGTTCCGTTTTTGGATTCACAGAATGTTTACATTAGCATTTTTCTATACACCATATAATTTTCAAAATATTTTTACTTATTTTGAGATGTTTACGGACATTTTCAGTTTTAATTTTTTTAGTTTTTTTTTTATAACATTAAATATCTATAAAAATGTATTTGATAGTCAAAAAGCCTTAAAATGTAATAGAATGCCCGCTTGACCAGCTTATTGTATTAATAATAACAATATAAATATAATATAAAATATACTAGGCTAACAAAGCTAAACGATTCTCAATTTTAAATTTTTCAGCACCTTAAAATAAGAATTTTTTTCAAAAATTCCATGTAATAATTGCATTAGGTGGTACTTATAAATATTTATTTTGGGAAAATCTGATTTTAAATCAAAAAAAGTAATTCCTAAAGAGCATAATTTAGAAGTTTATGAATGTAACCATTTTTTTCAAAGTTACAATCGAATATCAGGAATTATGTTTAATTTACTACCGCCTTTAGAAGATTTTATAGTTATGCAAACAAGAATATATTTTATTTTTCATAAGTATTGACATGTGTGTGCTTGTGTGAGTATTGAGATTTACAATGACTCTCGGAAATACACACTAATGTTAATTTACTAATTACTACTCACACATGATAGAAATAGTCCAAATGTTGATGTCATGGTAATTGCCTAAATATTAATCCTTATAACATGATCCGCAGGAAATTTATTTTGGTTAATTTCATTATTATTAATCACTTAAATCTCCAGACAATGAACCATCCATATGCAACAATATAGTTTGTTGAAATAAGGTTTATATTTGTCTTAATAATACCCCCCTTATCTTGCAAAACTACCAAGTACTTATCTAAAGTTGCCAAACGGTTATGAGAATAAAATGTGTCTTATTATAACCAGTGTGCATAGAATACATTTTCTTCAGGTAAATTATTAGTCTTATTTTATAGGGTACAACAATCAAAAACTTGAAAATAATAGTTAGGTAATTAATGGTTATAAAATATCGAATATTCACTAAGCAATTCTAGGTGGGCAACCCTGTCACCCCAATGTTCGAATTTTTTATTTTTTTTTAACCATTAATTGCACTATAATTTAGACTATAAGAGTGCTTTTTGAGGTTAGATTAGAAAATTGTAATATTATGAATAATGATTATTAAATTATAATATGCAATAAATTATAATTAAAATAATTAAATTGTTATTTTATATTCATAATTTTATTATATATATTTTTGTTTTTTTAAATCGTATTAATATGTATCAATAATTAAGGAGCTCTTATAACCTCAAAAATGTTGTCACTTTATTCTCAGTTGATAACATAGATAATAAAGATATCTTTATTATCTATGATTGATAAGCCCAATGTCCTATCATATTGTTCTATGGTAGCAGGCAGCAGCAGGCTGGTAATCCAACAGCTCGACTTGGCAGTTGGCATATTGTGTTATACCATAGAATAATAATTCTATGGTTATACCAACCAAGGTTACGTTTACGGGACGTTTTTGACAAGTAATGACCACGTTTATTTTCATTTTTTTTGTTTACACTATAGTACTTTACACCACGACCGTGGTTAATTTTTTATAACGCCTACGCCATTTGCTACTGTTGTAGTAGTACCTGTTCTAATGTCGTCGATATTGGAGTTTGTTATTCGAAAGTCTATCCGATAAGGACCGCTGTTGATCCGATTCCACGTCTGTTCAGTAGTCCAGTCCACAGACTAGTGTAACTCCGCTCTCCGGTCGCCAAGCATCTTTCAATGACAAGGTTAATATTTTGTAGTAAAAAATACTTATATTATAATATCCAACATATCCAACATACCTACAGTTAGTTGTTTTAATAAATTAATAGCTAGGTACATTTTGTATTCAAATAATATACTATATAATATTAGGTCTTCCTATATCAAACGTAAACATTATGTAACTAACTTAATTTTGACTCAATAAGCTATAATAATCAACCGAAAATAAAATGTATTCTTTCTATGATTAATTTAGTTCATTAAACAAAACAGGTATGTAAAAACACATTACTGTAACTACAGGATGTCCTGTGAGGATATACCCATTAGCCCGTAGAGGGGGTTCATAACTGGACAAAAACCAGTTTTTTTCCATTTTACCTATAAACTAAGACAATTATTTAAAATCATGAGATCAATGAAAATAAAATGTTGAAAAGTCAAAATCTTCAATTGTTTCTAAAATAAAAATACAAAAAATAACTTTTTTAATCTTTTTTACCAAAAATTTTAATTAAATTAAAAAATAAGATGTGTGTAGTCCTTGTCTCTGAGTCTAATAAAAAGAAAAACAGATTTATGAACTTTTGATACCTTTATCTATTATCTCAGGAGATATCGCAATGGATCAATCCTCGCGGGACATTCTGTATATACCACAGAATAAGACTGAAAATTATATCACATTACTATTTATAATATAAGATAAGTAAATTGTAAATTTAATAAATATTGTTTAAACAACATACAGAGTTATTAAAATTAATAATAGAATTATGATGGAATTATTTTCTTCCTAAAATTTGGTTAAGAAATTGTTCTCTTAAAGAGTGAAATTTAATAGCCAAACGGATGAGTGCTAAACTAGCCACCACTGCTATAGTGTAGGGCCCAATTATGTATGTAAAAAATTACAATTGTTTAATTACAAATGAGTAAAATAAGTCTATAGGTACCTACCATAAAAATTGCTGATGTACGCTATTTTTTTGAAATTCTTTTTCTATAATTTGTACGGAAATTGGTAAATAGACTTATAATATACGAGCAAATAATGATGATTTAATTTAATTGTTATACTAATTCCTAATTTTTAATTGTTATTTTTTAGGTGGCGGTAGTCACGGTAATCAGTATATCAGAAAGATTGAAACTTTCAGACAACAACAACATCAACTGCAGCAGCAACAACAGCAACAACAAACAATGTCTCATGCAGAAAATTGTGTAACATCAGTAAGCTTTTAAAATTAGTTTCATTGTTATCATCATTATTTATTTTATTATCTATTTAATATTAAGTACCTACCTATCAATACTTTGTGATATACATAATACATACAATATTATTCTTGTTAAGATTAAGTTATGATATACAATGACTTTTTAAAAATTTAAATGTGACTATTTTTACTTAGTTAATATTGAACACATTATTAGTTCTAAAATAAGTAAATAGTAAAATATTAAATTTATAGGATTATTATTCGTAAAGCCCGTGTGAGTGCAGTTGTTTTGCAATTTCATAAAAAATAGTTACTACATTTTAACTTTTATAAAGTAGGTACTAATTGCACAAACATTAACTATTTAATATTTATAGGTATATAATTAATAAATCTTGCATAATTTAATAATTGTAATTATTGAAATAAATGTATAATGTATAATAAATGTATAAGAATATTCACATCAGTAAATCAAATTATAATGATAAAACAAATTTTACGCCCCAAAAATTTCTAGTGAAACAGTACTTAACCATAATATTATTGAGTTTTTTATTAATTCAAATAATAGTTAATTTAAATACATTTACTCCCCCTATTTATATTTATTTAACTTAAATATTCTAAATGCTTATTGATATTAAATTTATTAAGTTTTTATTAATATAATAATTAACACTCGGTTTTACCACTATTTACTAATTAGTTTTTTGTTTTCTTGTTTATAAATTGATAATGATGATGATAATAATATTAATATTATTTATTTAATTGTATTTAATAAAGTAACTATATTTGCTTTTATTTTTAGAAAACAACTACTCCGATGAAAAAATCAATTCAACAACAATCCATGCCCTTGCATGATGCACCATCACAACAAACAACATGTTCTAAACCAGTTGTTGAAACTCAAATACCGACAGCCTCAGTTACTCAAACATCTCCAGTAAAAGATTTTGAGGTATATAGCTATGTGTTTACATTTAACGATTGCAATGGTCACATACTCATATTTACATAATATATACACATCAAATAACTGTTATCGCTGTTCTTAAAAACTTGTTAACAAATTTATTTATCATTTTCTTGAGCGATATTAGATTTTTAGAGTGAATACCAAGTAATTAATTACATTTGTGTATTTAAAATTAAAGGTTTATGTAATATGACACCAAATTATTAATATTTGTATTGATTAAAAACAAATTACTATAGCATTGCAAAAGAACATGTCTATATATTCTGACAGATTTAAGTTTACTGCATATTTTAAAATAACAGTACATCTATTTCAGAGTCGTGGTGCGGATTTGATCAATCCATATCATTTTTGGATTAAAGATTGCAAATATTATTCCTGGGGCGTCTCGCATAAACATGAGACAGCTAAGCTTAAAATTTGTTGCGGTGATGTAAATTCAGTATGGTTGAAGCTATTACATGTTGCCAATAATACTTATTATTTTAATATAAATATAAAAGTCCTAATATGATTACCTAACATTGATATAATTAAACTATTCAAAAGAAAAAATAATTTGTGTATTTTTAGTTGCATTAGACTATTAAGGTAATTAAGCTTAATATGAAAATTAATCATATTTTTATAATAAAATTACCTATTTTAAAATTTTAGTTTATTGTGATTGGCAACCTGTAAACCCAACTATTAATTTGATGGTATTTATTATATCATCTGACAAGTAGGATTCTATATATATACACACATATTGTGTTTATTTACAGTCTAAGTCAGTGATATTTTGTCATCATTTGTGATGGATTGTGTCATAGCTTTTTTGGTAACTACATAGACCTTGGCAGATCAAACACTGTCCTCTTATAATAATAATAATGATAATTATAGTTAATACAATTAAAATATTATTATTATTATTATTATTATTATTATTTATGCTATACTATTTTGATGTATTATCTGCTAAAGTATATGTGTCTTGCGCTAACTGAAAATACTTCTTCGACGCGTTTTTAAAAATTGCTTTTGTTGTCTCATTGTCTATGTAGAATAAACGAATAAAACTTGAAGTTGAAAGTTCAATTAGCAAGAAGTCAGAAGTAAAATGGCCTGACAAACGAAGTACGCAATTCTATTTAAATCAAGTTATTGTCATTTGGGTGAATTGATTATTTTTAATTTATAAATTTATTTTTGTGTTAGAAATTAATAAGAAAGAACGAAAAAAGCGCTTGAATGCTCGAATGCGTCGTTTAGTATCTCCCAAAAGTCCATTAATGGTATTTTGTGAGTTGTTCAAGGATGTACCAATTCAATTACAAGAGCACTCAATAAATAATGTTACGGGTTACACTGCTACACTTGAGGTAAGATAAATTTTGAGACATAATTGAATTAGAAGGCTTGATTTTATTCTTGCGTATTATTATAATAATTAATAATGTATACTTTTATAAACAATGTAGATTGATGGTCAGATGTATACTGCAAATCACATCTCTAAGACTAAGGCCAAACAAAAGGCATGTGAAAATTTCTTGCGCATTATGTTGTCTAAAAAAATAAGTGAGGGATCTGGTACGTTGATCTAGTTAACTTTTAATGGTAATCGGAAAAAAAAATCCCCAAAGCAAATAGTTAAATATCATCTTACTTCTTAAAATCCTCATAACACACGCTTTAAAATTAAAATACAGTAGAACTCCGATTATCTGGACTAATTAATGTCAAGGTTGGTCCGGATGATTGACAAATGACATTTTAAAAGGTATTTAGGGACATTGTAACACGACAATTCACTCGTTATAATAATATAACAATTGACAGACTAAACTGTGCGACGATTAGACAACAACTGACCATTGGGGGGGTGCATAGTGGACTTTTGCACCCCCGAGTTAAAAATGTGCACCCCCAAAATATAAAAGACTAAATCTATAATATTTTGATCATTTTGAAGTAAATATTATCAATAAATACAAAAATGTTGTAAGTGGGTACTTAACTATTATGTACCAACATTCCCAGCTAGAACAGTATAACATAATATTATGAAATAATCTTTAGCTTAGGACCCTTTTTTTTTTCTTCCGGTTAATTGGATGTCCGTTTGATTGGCGTTCAGATAATCGGAGTTCTGCTGTATAATAAAAAGCTTATGATATTACCTAGATGATAATCTTACATTTAAGTCAATTCACACCAATTTTTAAACTAACCTGATCTGCTGAGCGTAAAAATGTTAATTTTCTTATATTTTTATATTTAAAATGATTTAAATATTTATAATATATTATTAACTATTATATTACTGTTTAAGAATTTTTGTGGACATACAGTATATTATTTACCATTTCCACTTCATTAAGTAAATCGATTTCGTATACAAGTAGTTACACTGTTTCCGATCAGACATCAAAATTATATTATAATAAATAAATATGTTTGACTATTAAAAGTATCCGACTGGTAATTCAACTTTACAGTAAAATTAACATAAATTTGTTACTCGGAGTCTTCAAATTTACCTTCACCAAATATAAATAATTGAAGTGTTATGACTTTTTCTCGTCTAGATAATGTTATAACTTATAATTATTATAAAATGTATAATTGTAGTATATTACATATTAATACTTTAGTTAAAATATAATTTAAGATGTTAGGATTCATGAACAGGAATACGATTAATTTTAAAATCATTAACTCATTAAAAAATTTATATTATTTAATTTCACTGTTATATTTGCCAAATTTGCCAGATTCTACTTACTGTACTATTATTACTAAAGGGTACTTACCTGTTTATAAATAAATAAATAAAAATATTTATATAGCAATGTCATATAATATAATATTTACCTACCCATTTATCAATATTATAATCTATATATATAAAAAAGGAGATTGAAAAATGTCGTTACCTCATCAATCAAGAATGTCTGATCCGATTTGGGTCAAATTTTTTTTGAAGATGTTCGTATTTGCCCGAAGAAGGTTTTTACAAAAGAAAATTTTAAAAAAATCCACCGGAAAAGTAGAAAATTTGAATGTCAAAAAATACAATAGTGGTGCCATCAGTCCAGGAAAAAATTAACTAAATAATAAAAAATTTAGTTTCAGATTAAAATAATAATAGTATATTGTATATTGCTTGCTATTGGTTACGGGGGCATGTTTGTTCATTTGTATTTTTTTTTCAATATATAAAAACAGCCGTTCTCGATATAAAGAGGTAACATACACTTTTCACTCTCCATTTATATATATATAGATGAATTTTTGTGTGTAGAATATACCCGATTATACCTCTGGAAAGAAGATAGTCTAATTTAAAAATTGTTAAATTTGGTTTTTTTTATACTTTTTTAGTACGGTTAGGTTAGATTAGAATTTTGTATTAATTGATTATATTAATCCAACGTCGGTGGAATTAAGTAAAAACGATAACTTGGTATAACTTTGATACTTTAAAGTTAAATCATACACTTACGTACAAACAGCACGGTGTCCGAGATCTACCTCAGGTAGATTGCCTACCTGATAATATACTAGGTACTGCGAATCATAATTTTTATTTCGGGTAACGGAAAAGTTAAGATAAGTTTTGAACACCATACACCGAATTTTAAATAACGAATTGAACAAAGTATGAGTCGTATGGGTAGAGTTGGTACATTTAACTGGCAATAAAGTGCACGGGATCAGAAGTAGTATAATAATTATCCTTCAAATTTTATATTTTTTTTGACAGCTTTATCCAATAGTTAGGTATAGCTTTGGGGATTTTTTTCTAGATTCCTTTTATAAACTAGCTCATATAGTATATGCATATATATAAATACTGACATATATTTAATTAGAAAAAAAAGAAGAATCTCCCATAGAAACAGAGACGGTAGATGGAGAAAATGGTACTGTACGGAAACCTAACGGACCCCCACAGGAAGATTTCCCGTGGCCACATTTCGCTTCATTAGCTATGCATAACTTAATACATCAATGGAAGCTACAGCCTGTTTCAAAAGCTATTAATTTACAAGAAGAAAAACCAAATGCCATAAAATCACCACTAAAGGTAAAGGTGAGTAATCATTTATTTACTATTTATTAGGGATGGGCCCATATCACTTTTAATCTATAACCAATAATCCAATATGTTATGCAAATTTAAAACCGATAACCGATATATTCAAAACTTTGAATTTTTATCCAAACGCATGAACCAATATTATAAAATACCCAATAATACATGATAACATCAATACGTTTAGTGTTTACAGTTATAACCACTTGCAGAGTTGATAATATTAGATTATACATATTATAATGATAAATTGTTTTTTTTTTTTTTATATCGGTTTTAAAAAAAAACAGATACCGATAAAACCGATATTGCCAATATTGGCCGATAATCGATATAGTTTTGCACATCGGCCCGGCCCTACTATTTACAATTTATTCTAAATTAACAGTTATTAATACAAATTAATCGATTTTGAATTTTTGTTAATTGAAAGGAAAAAGTTAAAAATTAGTAGCTATTTATTAAAAGTAACTATTTACTAATACTATACCTATAATTTATTATTAAAAGTAATTAGACTTTTAATCAGTCAACTTGGTAGGACCCATTTTATTATTTATGGATAAAAAACCAAAAATGTTTTTCGCATTAATTTTTAATGACATACCTAATTAAGCAGAAATGCAAGTGTATACACTATTCTTCCTATTATACTTTACCAAGGAATAAGCTTATTTAACAAAAATAGAAATAGTAAATGAGGTATGCTATATTATACTTTCTAAAACAACTCTATATAATATTTTATAACTAAATCAATAATTGTACTTTTAGTATGTTAAAATATATTATTTTCCATTTAAAGTTAATATATTACTTAAATAGACATTAAAGAAACGCTGTGTGTAGACTCCTGGCCATGGTCAGTGAGATGCAGAACGGCCGACTAGTGTCAACATCTTACATATACAAATAAACGGAATATAGTTATATATTATTTTGGCATAAGGTATAATATATTTTTATATTTGATTTTGTGGTATCAACTTGTAACTAAATAATTATTAATTAAAAATCCACTAGTCATTATTATGGTATATAATATGTACAATTTTTTGAATATTGGAATAATTTTTATACTAACATATTATTACTTATGTATTTAAAACCCCGATTATAACTTAAAAGTTGATATCACAAAATCAAATATATAATATTAACAATAAAGAAATAGTAACTAGGCTTTACTAAAACTGTTAAGGTTGAAAATTTGACAAAAGTATGTAGTATCTACTATCTTATTTCCTTTATTATCTAACATAATAGCAATTTAAATTTTAAATACTAATACAAGGTCATATGTTATTCATATTTTGTGTTAGCTCTGATATTTTATTTGATATACACAAGTACACCACACCATATTATATTTGTATAACTTAAGCCCTTCTATTTTAGGATGGTGCTAGGAGAAAGTTTCCCGAAGACCCAAAAAAGTGCAATCCAGTACAGTTAATAAATCAAATGAAGCCCGGTGTCAAATTTATTGAAACTATAATTAGTTTAACACCATCAGTTTTCCAAGTGAAATGTGAAATAGACAACATTCCATTCACTGGGCAAGGTAATATTTTTGTAATATTATATTACTGTTTTACGTGTTAAACTTATTTTTAATTGAAAATAGATTTAGAAATTCTATTTAATATAAACTGATAGTCAGTGTTGGGTGAATTACTTTAATAAAATTACGTTACTCGTTACATTAAATATTTTTATTTAAATTACATTTGTATTACCCGAAATTATTTTTATCACTACTTTACTTTTTCATTCAAAATCAGTCCATAACAAATAATAAGTATTATATACATTGTTAATGACTTAATGTTATCAGTGGCGTATATAGTGGGTGTGCACAGTAGGCTGCAGCCCCCCTCTAAATTACAGTCTTTTTAAATAGAACAACAGTATATTTTATTACGTTATAATATTTGAAAGCCTGTTGAAAAGTAACAAATACAAATATATTTATAGAAACTGTTAAATATATAGTAGACACTTGTAGACATCACATCCTAGTTTCTATCTACTATAGTCCACACCAAAAATTATTTCTATATACGCCACTGAATGTTATACATAAACAAAATGTATAAGTATTAATTCCTGGGATCTTTAATAATATTATTGATTATTATTTATTATAAAAACTTTTGGAACCGTAGTTTCCAAAGTCTCTAGTTTTTGTCGAACATTCTACATTCATAACTTATTTTAATAACGTGGAAAATAACAAGTTACTCCATAGAACATACTGTTAAAAAGTAATATTGTTACAATTACATTAATTTAAATAAAATATAATTAAATTACTTCAGTGTACAGTAATTTGTAATTTGCGTTATGTTACTACCCAACACTGCTGATAGTAAGATATATAATTTGATATGTAATCACTTTACAATGTAAAAATAAATAAATAGAATTAACAGTCAATATATTAGATGTTGAGGTTAGCTTCACAATTAAATAATAAAAAAATCCAATGCTAGTTTTAATTTTGCCAAAAAAATGTTTATTCATATAAAAACATAAATAAATTATAATAATTAATATTGTTTATTTATACTATAAATTATTTCTACTTTTAAATTATATTTTATAGGTTCGACTAAAAAGGCAGCTAAGAAGGAATGTTGTATTGCAGCAATCAAATACTTTTGGCATTTTGATTTCCATGCCATAGAAGATGATTTAGTCACTAAGAAATGAACATATTTATAATAATATATGTTTGTTTAGACAACTTTATAAGTCAACTATTTATTTTGTTTTCATAACATTTAAGGATACTTAGTGGTTATTATTGTACGGACATAGTATTAATCGTAATATTTATATGTGTTTCTATTTTAAAAATATCAACTTGTATAATTTACCTTTTAAATAATTTATCAGAATCCCCAGATAGTTATTTAAATCTAAAATGGATATATATATATGTATTGCATATTTATATACACTTTTTGGAAATTAATTCATTTAAAAAGACAATTCAAAACTTAATATAACTTTTTTACACAATTACTTTTAATATAAACAATTTTCTTTCTGTAAAATTACTAACCCAGAACTACAACTGCGCTTAGAGAAAAAATTGACAGGATCACTCACTCGCTCACACTGTTTAATCTTAGGTGGAAGAGGGTGATGGGGAATTATCCAGTACTCTGGACAGTATCTCAAGGTGAGAGGAAATTTCCAAACACCAATAAGTTTTAACAATTATTTGTAGATCAAATAATTTGGTTCTCAATAATAAGTAACAAAAATATTATTTTTTTTTATTATTACTAATTAAAAATTGGCTATTTAGTATTATTGTGCAGTTGTTATATTAATATTTCACCTTTGAGTAGAATATATAATTTTTAATAGTATATTTAATAAGTATAAATGTTTGTATTTTGCAAATTATATTTAGTATGACATATATTTCTTAAATAATATTGTTTTATTTGATTTAACTAAGTATACCTATTCTCCAAAACAGTTTTAAACACATTATCTTAATTCTAAGGTTTCTCTTGTTGAGAACTTATGTTTTATTACTAATATGTTTCTATAATATCATATATTTTATAAAATTGTAAAATTCTACTTTCTATCCGCAGTATGTAAGGCTTACCTGCAGTGCTCGTGTATAGAAAATGCTAATATAAACAATCGGTGAAAATATCATGTATTTAAAGTTTTTGTTTTAGAGTAAAACCAAAACCGATTTTGGGTAATAATTACAGTTTTTCTTAATGTTGATTTTGTTTTTCGCTGCGCTTTCGAAATCTATTGAGAATTTCTGTTGAAGAAAATCAAAGTAGTGTTACTGCCCCAAACTATGATGACTGAGGACAGACACAAAAAAAAAAAAACATATCGTAAAAACAATACTAATAAGTAATAAAATATTAATATTATAACTTAATTCTAAAAAAGTAAATAGTAATAAATCATAAAAAAAAAGTAATGAGTGTTTTAGTATGCTTTTTTTAATGGTACCTTACAAAAAAAGTCGCTCAAACTTGTAATGGAAGTTATGTTCAAAAAACTTCAAAATACTCGATTTTTCAAAAAATCGTGTTTTTGAATTAAAAATACCAAAAAATTGTATTTTTGGAATTTTAATTTTTTTTCTATTGTTAATATATTTTATATACTTAATGTTTTGATAAAATCAAAATTTATCTATCGTACTTACTTTTTATGTTAAACTTAAAAATGCTCGACTTTTCTAAAATCGTGTTTTTAAGTTTAAAATACCAATAGGTACCTAAACATTTTTGAAATTTTTTTTTCATTCGGTGTGGAATGACAGAAGCTTTCAGTATAACGGGATCTAACTAATAACTTAGCTTTGTGTGATATAAATATAATAATATATTTAAAATAATAGAAAATCAATTATTAGTTGAACTCATCATCTGAATTTGAACCATCAGAATGTTCAGCAACTACAACTAACTGCATTTGTCCAGAAGGGTCGTACACTATAAGGGTAAGTTAAAAAAATTCCGTTAAAGGATCTAACCTTGATGCTCGGCATGACTTCAGGAACATGTATTTGGCCAGATAGCCTGCATAGAAGTGTTTTTTTCTGGAATACTGCGTCATTGACGTTTTAGCATGACACCACATTCCCTCTACGTTATTTTTGTGTGAGCCAGTTTCAGGATTTTTAAATTGTATGGAGTGATTTACCGTCAACCATACCATATTATAATGATACCCATTATCTTTCAAACAATCGTAGCTCTAAATTGAAATGGCATGTTGAAAAACATATTAGATTTTATAATATCGTAAACTTACTTTCCAACAATCACCAATTATTGTAGTTCCTGGTAAAATCCAGTCTTTTATTAACGCCAACAACATACCTATCTTTGTCCCGGTGTTCAACAGGAACTAAGAAACATCGCCCAGTTTCAAGTTCTACGCCACCAAACACCCACTGACCTTCAACACGATGGTCTCCATGGTATTTTCTTTTACTAAATTTTGATTCATCTATTTCTATCACTTTCCCTTCACCACCTACGTATAATTATAAACATTTGAACATTTTTTCTTTGCCTAGACCTTTTTTTTTGCAATTTTTTTGTAGTCAAGTCAGCTGGAAACAAAATACGTGGTTTTTTACGCTGAATTACAAAAAAAAAAAATTCCTGGAAACTTACCGTTCAAAAGTTATGGAAGTTCAAAGTTGCAGTGATTACGCGTGTATCGGCGCTCCGCTCCGCAAATCGAAAATATCCCCCGATTCGTAGAACTTTGAATTGCCATAACTTTTGAACGGTAAGTTTGGGGGAATTTTTTCAAACAGTTTTGAATTCAGCATAAAAAACCACGTATTTTGAAAAAAAGGGTGTCCCGTAAAGTAGGTAATATATCTAAAAACTATATAGTTATACAAACACATAATGCACATTACAACCACTCTGGTCACTCGCAATACTCGCTCGCTCGAAAAATAAAAATCAAAAAAAAATGTAATGTAATACATACCGATCTTTTCATGTCGGATAATCATTCCGTCAAAAACAACTTCTCGGTGAATAGTGGCCCAATCAACAGACGTTTGTCGAGTCATGTCCATTTGCTTTCGAATAAATTCAAGTGATACTTGTTCATCCCATGAATAGGCAAACATAACAATTTGGTAGATCTTCAGGTGGGACTTTAAGAAAAAAGTAAATTTCCGAACGGATTGTTGAAAATCACACTTCACTTTTTTTTTTTAACTTTGGTCAATCGAGGTTTGTCTGCACCCCCAAACAAAACCATCCATAGAGTTGACATAAGAACACAATAATAAGAAATGACCCTTATTGAATTTTAATGTACTGAAGTTTGCAATAAGTCCCCAAGACTGCAATGTCTCTATGATTGGCATGCTTGGCGGACCACGTTGCTTACGCTCAAAAAGTTCGTACATTTTGACAATATTCAACATATTGGTATAATTTAATATAACATTTATATTAACCACAAATCACGGTGTTGCACAAACTTTATTGAATATCATTATGAGCTATATTATGAGGTACATATCAAATGCCGATATAGATACGAACCTAGAATACAAATATTGATAAACCTAATAAATTATAGTTTATCGCTAACGATTAGCTAATTAGATATAGTTATTTGGTAAAAACCAAAGCTGTGTGGTACTGCAAAATTGAAATAGACCACAATATTATGCCACGATATTTTAATACCTTATTTTCAACATAATTAAATTCGCTTTAATTTCGAAACTAATTCCGACTGACAAATTTTTATTACACCAAAAACTTAGTCTTTACATATCGAATGAGAAAAAAGTTTCCAAAATGTTTAGATATTGGTAGTTTTAATTCAAAAACTCAATTTCTTGAAAAATCGAGTATTTTGAAGTTTTTTGAACCATAACTTCCATTAGAAGTTTGAGCGACTTTTTTTTAAGGTACCATTAAAAAAAGCATACTAAAGCACACATTTTGCAAAAAAAAAATCGCTTGTTGGCTGAACTTGAATTATGCTGAAAAAGTTATTGATTGAAACTTAAAATGTAACAATTAATTTTAAACCTACATACATATACCTATATATTATATAGATTGAATATTGATCATAGATGTAGGTATCAATTAGATGTACGAAACAATATTTTACTAAAGTTTTATTGAAAATGTTGACTTTGAACCTAATTGGAAATTTTCGTGGGTGTCTAGGTAGAGGTGGGTGGGTGTTTAAAATTTGGGTCTGCACCACCAACTAAAACTTAGTTCGGCGCCACTGATGAGTATAGGTACCTTTACTATATTGGTTTAAAAGCATAAACTATATAATATAATATATTTGTATAAATATTAAATTAAAATTAGCATTTAGCGTGTAAAAATTATACCTATGAGCTACCTAGCATACATAATACTTGATGAAGATACTTTTACTCTTTTTGAGTTTTATATTAGTTTTTTGTTCAGTAGAGAGGCCAATGCAATCATTGCATTAACCATTGCACTATTTGCATTCATATAGATTATTGACCAATACCTTAACTATAGAAATTAGAAATTGTATATAATAAATATGCAATGCACACAGTAGTTATAATTTAGTTTTGATTTATAATTTTTCAAATTACCTATTTAACAACAAAAACATTCAATGGCATGTAGATTGTAGGTAAATGTATATTATGTATATTATAAATTTATTATTATTATTATTATATTATTTTATATAGGTATATATATACTACCACTTATTTAATGTCTTATATAATATTATATTATTATTATTTAAATTATTAGTAATATTATAATTGCATATTTATTGCGCGTTACTGTGTTATGAGTCATAACTTATGACTTATGTATATCCATGTGTGTATGGATATAGTGCTCTGTGTACTTACTGTCCAGTCTTGTTCAGTATTCAAATACTTGTATTAAATACTTTTTGAAAAATGTATTTTAAATACTTAAAAGTACTTTTAATTTGTATTTTTATTCTAGAATACTAAATACCTACTTTTTAATATATAATATTATAATGTAAGCATATTATATATGTGTATTATATACATATATGATTACGGAAGTTAATTAGTAAACTATACTTAAACAATCCCCATTTCCTAATTTTTGCTACGCCACTGTACATTAGGCAGTAGTTGTCGAGTACCAATTCAATGGTCTATGTACAAATGCGATGATGTACGAAAAACGATTCTGAGCGGAGACTCGTCTTGTCCTCCTATAAATAAAACTTGTATAAATGATCAAATTGGATACTTAACGAAAAAAAATTGATAAAAATCAAAAATATATCATGGCTATACTGAAATAGCGTCATTTTCCGGTATGGTTTTTTTTTTCTAGACAAACCGAAAATAAACCTAATCCGAAATTTGGGGTTTTCCGGGAACCGTATACCGGAACCGGGACCTCAAAAATCACCGAGTCGTAGAGGATATAATATTATTGTACTTACAATACACCGGCCCCGGCGAAGAACAGTTATATTTTTAACCGACCCACCGCAAACCACAATGGACGTCGAAACCGGAAAGCCAGCCGTCGGTCACTCTTGTATGTTTTGGATGTTCTTCAATGGCACCATACCTCCTGCTCGTCGTGATCGGCGCTTTCGATGCACACTCTATGGAAGTACGACGACGAGGCCGTCACGGGGCCGCCGATCCACGTGGAATACTGGCGCTAGGGAGGATCCCGACACCTCCTTGTTGGCGAGTCTCTTTGGATCATCGGCTTCAGTCGTTCGGGAAACCCCTGGAACAGCCTGTTGCCGACAAGGTGTTGTCGTACATGTCGTTGCGATCGTTTACGTTGCAGTCGCCGATCGACGCTTGTATCTGGCTGTGGATTCCGTCCACGACGGGCACGTCGATGTGCTCGATCGAAGAGGGATCGCGCAGTGCTTCGGGGGGGTCGGATGCTTTGCAATTGGATTTGGAGAGACGAAGAAGATTAATCCAACAAGTCCGACCCACAGCGCGCACGCAGTCATCTCGATTTCAGTTCATAACGGGACAACATTTTTTATTAATTTTTATTATATTGACTATTTTCCGGAGCATAATAAGCTACTTTTTACCCCAAACATTCAGCCCACTATAAAACAAAAAAATAAGACTATTACAATTTTGAATAGTGATATATAAATGAAAACTATATATTATCCAATAAGCAGCTGATAATGGTTTAAAAAAAAAAAATTAAAGCCACTAATGTAATTAAATATTTAAGTCGAATCTAAAATACTTGCAGAGTTACAGTTTGTACCTACTAGTATTTTTTAACAGATCAATAACATAAGAAAAAATTGGATGACGCTCTGCTGTACAGCTGTAGGTTACAAGTGGGTCACTGTAATGGATGGTGTTAAATTTGAATTCAATGATATAATATCATTATATAAGAAAATTAGAAAAACGATTCTGAGCGAAAACGATCAGTCAACCTATGATATTACTAAGTATATTTGATGATATTATTGTGAAAAGAATAATTTATATATAACCTATTTACATGGAATCTTGTTTTAAATGTTTAATTTTTAGCTATAAAAGTTGAGCATTTTATAAATTTTTAACATCAAAATTATTATTAAATTTTAAACGTGATAAATTGTATTTAAATTTGAATTTAAATGATTATAAAAAAAAAATTGTGAGTATTTTTTTAAATATTTTTCAACTGCTATTGTACCAATATATCAGGAGCCTTGTATTAAATTGTCACGCTTGTTTACCCAACAAATAAAATGTTATTGATATTTATACAAAAAAAAACAGAAAAAATTGAAAACTGACAATGTCCTTAAACAGCTCAAAAAAGGTCAAATTACTTTTAAAATTGTATGGTGTATAGAAAATTCTAATATACGCATTCAGTGAAATTGTCATGTATCCACAGTCATTTGTTTTTTAATTACTATAAAATAAGAAAATCGTTACATGAGTCAATATCAAATGTTGTAAAAATATGAATTTCAAACGCTCATAAAAATTTAATATGAGTTTCTTGTAGACATTTATTTTTTGATAAATTTAGACAAACTTATGAGGAATCTTGTATTATATTTTCAAATCTTAAATTTAAAAGAAAATATTTTATGAATTTCAAACTCAAAATAATTTGCAACTTTTCGTCATTTTTATGTAAACAATATACTAGGAGTCTTCTATTAAATTTTTAAGCATTTTCAACTAACAAATAAAATTTTATTGATACTTATAGAAAAAAAAACTAAAAAAAAAATGGAAACTGAAAATGTCCGTAAACAGCTCAAAATAAGTCAAAATATTTGGAAAATGATATTGTGTATAGAAAATGCTAATATCAACATTCACTCAAAAATTCATGTACCTACAGTCATTTGTTTAAGAGTTACACCAAAAACCAAAATCGATTTTTTCGAAAACAGATTTTGCGTACAAATTCCCGTTTTTCCTTAATTTTCTTTTGTTTTTCACGGCGCTTTTGGAAGCAACTGGAAAACTTTTGACCCCCCCCCTCCCAAGTACCATCTAGATTAATTTTCTTATCAGAAAAGATATACTGTTGAAGAAATTCTAAGCACTTTTACTGTCCTAAATGGTGACGATAGACACAAAAATAAAAATAATATGAGAAGTAAACGTGTAATATAGGTTATTAGTAGGTAGTACGAGTTGGTACAAAAGATAAAAGTGTATTGTACTTAGGTGGCTACGTATACTTTATGGCCTGTTATACAGTATAATTGAATATAATATTGATATTTAATTTCACAATAACAAACATACTAATAAAAAATAATTAATTACTATAATGAATAATAATTATTAAGACTTATGAATATAATTCGTGGCATCAATGTCTTCATACGGCTAACTAGTGTTATACTTATTTAAAATTTATAAGTAACTTATTAATACAATATATTAGTTTTTATCTTTAAACATAAATACGAAGTTCTTTGTAAATATATCTTATCTTTTTTCTGATCATATTTTCTATATTCTGCGAACTTATAATAATATTATTAAGAACCGAAAACCCGTGATAAACAAAATATTTTTCTGGATAATAGGAATATTCAAAATTAACTTAATTGGGCAATAAAAAAAAAATATCAGTTGAATTTAAGTTAATAAAGTTAATTAAGTTTATGTGTTGCTCCGTCAAAAAACCGTAAAAGAAGAAGCAAAATACTTCTATAAGCGTTTTCATGATCGCCACACAAATCCATTAATCCGTAAATTAGCATCAAAAGAAATTCCTGGTAATCCTCACCGACGACTAAAAAGAAAATGGTGCAGAGATCTCCTAAGCAACTAATAAAAAATAAAATAAAAAATGAATGGTAAAGTAAGTACCTAGTTAGTCAAGGCCAGGGAGCGTCATTACTGGGTGGCTATTTCCATCAACCGTTTGCGTATTTCCCGATCCTAGTACGTTTCAGCGCGGGGGGCGGAGCCAAGACCTTTCTGCATGATGTATAATATATGTTTTTACCGATCCTAATCTGATTCAGCGCGATGCGCTGAACCCACATGGGGTTCGTAATTTAAAAAAAAAATTACGATAAATACATATTTCTGTTTTTATTACTGTGTTCGTCACATTATATTATAGTCATAATATAAATATTACTAATAACAATATCAGTTAAATATTTTTAATCAGGCTGAGCGTTGTGATATAAAAATGTCATTAATCTATATAAAATGCAGTACTAAAAAATAATAAATAAATAATAATTATAATACAAGTAAAATATTTTTTATCAGGCTGAGTATACGTATTACATACAGCGTCATGGTATAACATTTTCATTAACCTATTATTATAAAATGTGTCAATAAATAATAAAAAAATAAATAATAATAATAATAATATAAGTAAAATATTTTAATCAGGCTGCGTTACATGCAGTGTTCTGTGTTATTGTATGAAAATGTAATGCTAATGATGTGTTGCATTGAGTTTGTTTGCTTGTATATTTGCTCCTAAATTTCTTTTGATTTTTTTTTTTTTTTAACTTATTATTATTTAACTTATTATAACTAAAGTTTTTGCAGCATGGACAAATTTTGAATAGCATAGTTGATTTTTTGTGGTACGCTTGTTAGCAAAATTAATTAATCGTACTTTATGATACCTTTCAAAAACCGTACTAATAAAATCTGCTAAGGCACACATATTAAATGCTTTGCATCTCTCAAGTACAATGTCTTTAAATACCCGAATTGAAGCTTCAACAATATTATTTTTGTTATTCCCTCTTATTGCCAATTTAGAACGAAAACACAAACACCATTCCGTCTTTCTTTTCCATAATTTTTCTACGTAATTTAAATAATTAATATATTTTTTTGAACAACTATCCATTTTAAGATTGTTCATTTCTTTCATACATTCCTTCTCATTTGTGGCATACATAACTTTTCTAAATATATTTATTAAATGTTTTCGATCATTGTTATGGATTTGGTGACTACTGTTCCAAAGCCACCGCCAAACTGCTTGTAAAATATGGAATGTACATAAGAGCAAGGTTGATTTTGGAAAACATGCTTGCAATGCTTTTCTCTCTGCAATGCTATCATCCGTCATAATCACGTTTGGTTCACCCCTTCCATTAAATCCATTAGGGCCAATAAGCTTTTTAAGAAGTTCAAATGCTGACGTATAATTGTCCTGGCTTTGACCAGTATAAAGAACCACGCCCATAGGTATGCCCCCAATTTTGGATGATCCAAAAAAAAATGTAACAACTGTATTTGTTTGGTCACATGACCCACTTGAGTCAACAAAAATTATATCTTTTGAAAAGTCCATTGCATGAAATCTCCTCATAATAGGAGACTAATAATAGCAACATTTTGTTTTTCATCGTCTATAAGCATTTGAATACCAATTGCTTCATACTCGATTTTTTTATTTTTTAAGACTGTATACATACTTTTAACTGTTCTATCACCAAAATGTATCTTCCTAAAATAACAATATATAGGTTAATAATCGTAAATAAACGTAATCGTAATAAACTTTTAAGATAAAATTTGGTAGAAAAAGGTTGTAATAATACTACTACATATAAAGCAATACCTATAGTACCTAGTACCTACCTAGCCATAACTATTAATATTGATACCATCATTTTGAGTTGAAGGAAACATTATGAGATAACTTAACAATACAATTTATATTAGGTAATTCCACAGCGTAATATAACAACACTGTATGTAACACGTATACAATATACATACATTATAATATACATTATATTAAATAGGTATAAGTCATGTACGATGTACCTAACCACAACGCTCAGCCTGATTAAAAATATTTAACTGATATTGTTATTAGTAATACTTATATTATTATGACTATAATATAATGTGACGAACACAGTAATAAAAACAGAAATATGTATTTATTGTTAATTTTTTTTTAAATTACGAACCCTATGTGGGTTCAGCGCATCGCGCTGAATCAGATTAGGATCGGTAAAAACATATATACATCATGCAGAAAGGTCTTGGCTCCGCCCCCCTCGCTGAAACGTACTAGGATCGGGAAATACGCCAACCGTTTCATGTCATTGTAAATAATATATTCTTATTGTGCCTCTATTGGCAATTACGAATATCTTAAAAAAAAAAATTGAGCCAAATCGGAACAGCCGTTCTCGATTGATGACGTAGAACAAAATTTTCACACTCCATTTTTATATATTACATAGAGATAACACGACGATAATTATTGCCTTTTTTTACTGGCTAAAAATAAAATATTATCATGGTAACCTGGCCTGAAAAAAATTTAATAAATCATCTTATTCGTTTAGTGTCTGAACAGTTTTGCCCAAATCGTGTCGTTTATCGTTTATATATTTATATTCCCATAAACGGAACTGATTGTCTGAAACTCGTTAGTCGCTATTATATGGACTCGTCGTGTATAATCTACCCATGTACGTATATTAAGTTTTTCGCGTGATCTATAATAATATTATGATTCTAATATTTTTATTGGTTTTTTGTAGATTGAATACGATATAATAAAATATACGATACCTCATAACAAATTTAAAATGAACACATTCAGATGTGTACTAATTATTTTACTTACAATAGTGACATGTGGAATTTTTAATCTATAAATACTAAATAGATATTATATGGACTCGTCGTGTATAATCTACCTATGTACGTATATTAAGTTTTTCGCGTGATCTATAATAATATTATGATTATAATATTTTTACTGATTTTTTGTAGATTGAATACGATATAATAAAATATACGATACCTCATAACAAATTTAAAATGAACACATTCAGATGTGTACTAATTATTTTACTTACAATAGTGACATGTGGCATTTTTTTAATCTATAAATAGATAGTGATGTCTCATAGTCATCACATATGCAAACTGCACGCATTATATTTATATGCCTAGTTATAATTTAATATCTAATATATTGTATAATATAATATAATATTATAATATTATTATGATATAGATGGTAATCTAGATAACGTGTGTAATCATTTTTTAGTTTATTGTCCTATTTTTTCCCGCGTCTTAACTGTCATTCGCTCGCGTGCACTGTTTTTTACTTGTGTGACCTTGTGTTTTTTTAAGTTTTTCTGTAAGTAGTAAGTGACTTAGTGACCAACAACATTAAATTTACCTGTTTGGCACTTTGGTAATTTAAGTTAAATATAGGTACCTACCTATAAATTGTATTAAACATCGTTGTTGCGTGTTGGACGTTTTCGACGTTACCTATATATTGACATATTGTTAAATATTAAAATAGGTATGTCTTCAAAACAGGTAATTATTATTTTATGATTAAATCAACTAATTATGTTTTATGTTAAATTGGTGACATAGTGCCAGCTGCCAATGTAATAAGCATTTTTGACTATTTAATTTGGTAGGTACCTATAATATATGCTGACATAGGAAACGATTGGCCAACGTACCCTGTCAAAATCGATTCACAGTTTTACAGTAAGAAAATTTAATTTACATACCTAAATCAATTTAATAATTTAAAGACATCAAAAAATTAGAAGTAAATAAACAGATTTAAAAACATTTGTTACATTTAAATCTTACTTAATTTTTTGTGTACCTATACACTTTTATACATCCAAAAAAGGTATTTAGCATTTTATTATATTTTCCAAATAATAAGAATATTTTATTATAATGTGGGTACATATAGCTATTCTTTAATAGATACAATAGATCACAATAAAATACATTTTATGAATTTTTATTGTTTTATTTACCTAATCAATAATCAATGTTGGGTATTTTATATTTTCTTAGACACTTATGATGATACTGCTGTAAAAGAAAAAGACATTTTTATATCAGCTTCAGCCTCGGAGTCTGAATGTGATGGAGGTTACAGACGTCTTAAGAAACAAAAAACAATAATTAGTAATAACAATATTCAAGACGAGAGTGACAGTAGTAAGTTATTACAAAATATATATTAACGATAAATATGAACTAATTAACTAATAAAACAATTAATATTGGTTATTACCATAGATATTAATAAAATAAGCTGTAGTTACTACTATAATGTAAGTAGAACTTTTATTATAATTGTATTGACAGACAACATACGTCATAGGTAAATTATAAAGTATTTAAAGACATGAATAATTCATAAAAGTATTTAACTGATGTCTGATTAGTTGCATATAATAAAGAATGATCTATGGATGCAAACAAATTCCAATGTTTTAAATCTTATCTCTTATATTTAAATATTGATCTGTTCAAAATATTTAAATATTTAAATATACCTACCTACAGGATACTTGTATTATTGTGATATGCTCATTTGTACTTTTTTTGTTTTAGCATGCAGCAGTACTCCAATGAGCCCAATAAAAATAAAAACAAAAATAATTATTTTATAAACTTAAACGTAGAGTCTACTAAAACAAGTCCGGAAAAATTCTACCAAACCATATTATCTAGTATGTACCTAAATTCTAAATTAATAGTATTCATTAGTGTCCTATTTATGTTGTAATAAATAAATTAAAATGTTTAGATGCTATAAGTGGTTGTTATGAACTGCAAGAAGAACAATGCCATGAACTAATGCCACTGCAGGAATCAGATAATGGGATTTTGTCATGTACCTACGTAAATATTTTTAATTTATCAATGTTCATAACGTTCAAAACATTTTTTAACACTAAGTTCTTAAATTTTAGTTAAAATTAAACTAAAATTCATCTACATTGTTTTTAAATTTATTCTAAATATAATTATTCTATCTTAATTTAAATTTACTTTGGTGCATTTTGATAAATAAAAGAAAAAAATGGAAGACATACATTTTAATTTGTAAAACCACACTTCTAATTATTAAGTGAATAGAATTTATATTAATTTCCTATTAATTTTCTACACTTAATATTTTTACAGTTGATCAAATTCCCAATGAACAGAATAATCAGATAAATATTTTGATTGAAAAAATGTCAACAACTCTTGCTTATGTAAAAAGGATTGATGCAAAGTTAGACTTGTTAGAATCAAAATTAAATTCTGGGTCTTCAATGGGAATCAATGAAAATGATTTTTTCAGTTTGATACCAATGAAAACTGTTGAAGGTCTTGATGAAATTGAAAACAAAATTAAAACAGAAAATGACTTTGAAAAAAAAGTGGCAAGTACTACATATATTTTTTATTAATATAATATTTTATAGTAGGTATTAATTGTTACTTGAATTATAACTTGTGTTATAGGTTACTTGTGTGATTCAAATAGGTGGATTGAATGCTCAACATTTTATCAAAAGAGTTCTAGCTAGGTTTTTCTACTAATCAATTAGCTACAAAGTATTCATGGACAGGTTTCAGGAATAACAATAAGTTAGAAAACTTAGAAATTATTAAAATTATAAAAGGTAATTATAGTTTTTGTATAATATCTATTATATCTTGTATGTTTGTGTACACTGTACAGTGTAATATACCTATTGAAAATTTGCAGGTGTATGCATGAAAACATTCAATGGAACTGACATAGATTTTGAAACCCATACAAAAAATTGGTTTAGGCATGCTACCCTACGTCTATCACGAGAAAAACAATGATTTTATTTAACATTATTTTTTAATATATGCTTATTTTATTATAATTATTCGGTTCTTTTTATATTTATATTATATTAAATATATAATATAAGTTGTTATAATATCAAATACATTTTTTAATTAATTATAAAAAAATTTTAACATTGGTGTAAAAAGTATAAACACATTAATTCATGATTAACAAATAAATTACACATTTATATCAGATTGCATATTTTTATTTAATGTACCTAGTCATTTACATGTTTTTTTTTTTTTTTTTAATATTAGATTAGGAGAAAAAAATGTAAATTCATTATCTAGAAGACATTTATTAAGATGTGTACAAAATGAAATAACTGACCAGCTATCAAGTACAACAAATCATCAGGTTGTGGAACCTCAAGTACAGGCCGATCCAATACCATCGAATCCACTAAATGTTCATTTAAATTTAACTTCAACTAGTAGTATTTTACAACCATTAGATCAACAGTTTGTCAATAATTCTAGTATAACAGTTAGCGAAGATATTTTTGATGATTCTATTTTATTGAACCATGAAAGAATAGAAAAAACTTCTCTTGATGTAAAATTATGTAAATGGATAGTTGATTTTCATGTTTCACACACATTAACTGTGTAAATGCTCTCTTATTAATTTTAAGATCAGAAGGCCTTAATCTCCCTAAAGATACAAAGATACACGAACTTTAATAAAAACTC